TATAGAAGAAAAATACTTATTTAACACATCGACTTTATCATCATCTGAGAAAGCTATATTTTCTTCTCCGCTATCAGAAATGTATTGTATGGGTGGAATATCTTTGTTTGGTTTTACATGAAAAGCATCTCTTAGCATTTTCCAGTATAATTTAGTATTATTCACGCTCGCTTCAGATAGCTGAAGGTCCATGTTGTCATAATAATTCGATAGCGCATATTTTTTCATGTTATTGACTTGATTTCTGATTTTTCGATATTCAGCCTTATCCGATTCTTTCTTCGTTTTTCTTGCTATTTTATGTAATCTGTTGCGTATTCTAATATTTTTCCTGAGTACTGAGTCAAACCAAGGTTTATCTTTCGGACGAATTGTGACCGACTTTTCTGGAACACATTTTCGTACAGACGATAGGAAATGAGCAGTAAAGTTTTCCGTAGCAGTGTCAACATCTTGGACGTTATTTATTAAGCTGTCCCAATCGCAATCTTGAATTAAGGAATTGAGTTTTTCAAAATCTGCTTCTTTATATAGCCATACATTTCGCTTATACGCATGATTAATTTTGTAGTTCATGGTGAGACACACATAAGTCGCCCTGTGGTCGCTAAGAGTTGCGCTTACATTTAAAGTTCCTGACTCTGTAACGTCAATGCTTTGTGTTGTAAATATTGGGTCAATAAGTGTTCGAGAGGAATGCGTGATTCTCGTTGGCTCGCTGATTCTGTTGATCAGACTACAATTGGATATTATTTCATATATAATATGTGTGTGAGGAGTGCTTAAGAGATCAACATTTATATCACCAACAATTATTATTTTGTCGGAAAGTTCACTTATTTTATCTAAAGACCATGAAAAGTTTCTCCAAAAAGTGGAATCTGCGTGTGGAGGACGATATACGCAACATAAGAAGAGTTGAGAGGTAGGGTTATCAATTTCTAACACGACAGTTTCAATATTGACAGGTTCGAGATCCATTCGTCTGTGAGCTCGAATGTTGTTACTTGTGTAAGTAATGACTCCGCCTCCGAAGGAATTTCGATCTTTGCGAAAAATACAATTAAAACCTTCTAAAGAAATATCACTATTCAAAATTTTGTCATCGAGATGCGTTTCAGTAAAGCACACAATATCAAAATCATTTACTATGGCTTTAAGTGGATCAATTTTGTTTCTGAGACTTCTGATATTTAAGTGTAAAATGTCAAGGACACTTTCATAAGTAGGGCCTGGGTTTGCTTCTATATCACCAGATATTAATAACAAAATAAAAGCAAAAAATTGCATGAAAAGGGATATGTGTACTGACAGATTTTTACCAAAATACAAACTTTTCAACAGAATTTTACTGGCATACTATACTAACTAGACAGTGATTCCTTCTATTTCCATTTCATTGTGAAATAAAATTGTAGATTTAGACTTTAAAAATGCAGACATAGATTTAAATTACACGAGGATTCTCATCCCATTTCAATAGTCCTCACCCACTGACGTCAAACACAACGGCAGCTGCATGAATTTTTCATGCATATATTTGGCCTCCTTAGCGTCAGACTCGGAGACAGATGCGCATGAGATTTGCATGGCATATTAGGCCTCCTTAACTCCTGACCTATTGACCTGCTTAATTTACATTCCGGTAGAATTATCAAGAAATTAACTCCCCTAACTTTCAAAGAGTTATCAAAGAGAGAAAAATTAGAAATGGAAACATTAATTTCTTAACCAATGAGAATCTATTCGCCATTTGACAGACGCTTATTGCGTAGCGCCGAGAATGCCACGCCTTAAGTACTGAAAGTCCAAGGTTAACTGAGAATTGTACTATTGTAAAGTTCCAGACCAGTATAAGATGTATTTATTTTGACCACAAACTTTTTTGTCTTGTAGAATTAAAGAGTTCTAAAAGTTCATTGGAAATTGTACACGCATTCTCAATTTATAGTACCAATTCGATCTTGGGAAAAGAAAATTTAGTGAACTAAAATTAACACTTTTATACCTCATTTGAAACATGAAAGTGTATAGTTATTAAAAATCGCAATTTGATTTACATACTTCATGCTTTGTTTTGTTGGCCTCCTTCGAAATAAAAGCGGTTGGAGGGCAAATTTTTAACCAAGATATTTACGTGATGTTGAAAAGCCATATTTGGAAACGAAAGAATTTTTTTTAATACAAAATCAATATAATACACATCAAATTTTGTTAACTATAAACATTTATGAAACGTTTAAGCACATTTGTAAAAGGGGTGTAGAATCTTTGATTCAATTATTAGTAAAAATAAAACGGTTGTAATTTTCATTTAAATGAAATTATTGTCTTTTTATTTTAGCAAGTTTTATCACATCCGATGATAAGCTTAATAATGACAATATTTCCTAAAATGCTACATTAATTGATTCTTTATTAATCTGCTCAGAGAAACGCACATTATTTAGAATATAAAAAGGTTAAATATTTCGCCATTACCTGATTACGAAGTGTTTGTTAAATATCACGTAAATATCGCACATAGATATCATACAAAAATAAAAGTGTATTCGGGGAAAAAATGATTATATATTATTTCAAATTATTGAATTTTATGAATTTTCTTATCTATATATACGCTCTTTACAAAGGGTTGAATTGAAAATTCAAGTTATGATTTATCTATAGAGGACTCATGTAATTCATAACCCCCCCCCCCCCTTCCACCATTTAATCTGTTGATTATTTCAAAAGCAGCCACGTAGCATCGTTTTTTAAAGTGTGTGTGTGGGGGGGGGGGCAGTCAGAGAATTTTTTTACTTACCTGAAAAGTTGACAAGGCAAAAAAGGGGGGTGAGAAAACTTGCACAAAGTCGAAAATCCTAGAGGGGGAGGGGAGGCGAACTTTTGTCAATGCCAGCTACTTTCAGTACCAATTATTACACTACATTTTCCGTACATCACTATTAGTGGGGGTGGGGGGTAATAAGCCTTTCACTGAACATTTACTATAGTTGAAGTAAGGTTGGACTGCTCCCCCCCCCCCCCCTCTGTTGCTACATGTCTGAAATGTTTAATTGTTTGTGAAAACTTTATCGTCAAATCTCACAAATTAAACAAAGATCGCCCACCACCCTTAAAAGGTTTGTCAATAATCAAGTTGCATATCACATGTGCTCTATAGAGCAATATACATTCTATGTTCATATAACGTAAATTGAATTTTCAGTACCATTAAAGCATAGATGCATACGTTATATGTCTAAGCAATTCCAATGGGAAAATTAGGTGCACAATTTTATACATGTTAATATTTGTATTTCTTGCAAAGCAACAAAAATGGAAATGGATTCAATTTCAACCAGTTTCTTGACACCCAACACCCTCTTTTTTTACCCGATGTAGAACACCCCCCCCCCCCCCCCCCACTGCATGCAACACACACATTATATTTCCTACAAAAATGATTTTTTTTTCCTTCAAAATGTTAAGCTTGGTATACAATTCAGGTGTATATAACCATTTTTTTAAGTTGACGATACACTATCATTTCAAACAAACAGCAAAATACAGACTTGAAGAAAGTTTTGTTTCAGATTTACGTCCCGAATGATAAAGTGCATTACACTTGAAACTATATATATGCAATATTAACCAATTGCTCAAAATGGAAAGATTCAATCATTAAACCACAATTCTACTTGTGAATAATATTATGTCAGTTCAATTTTCAAATCACACGGATGCACAAGATATTGAGTGAAAAATGTTCACCTTTGCATGTGCACTTCAATTTGCATTTCTGCACTCTTGTTACAGAAAAAAAATGACATTTTAAGAAACAGTGTATATTTCTTTATGTTCTTAGTATTTACATCTTAAAGATTCACTCGCAAATCTGTTCAAACAGCTTTGGAAATTAATACTTATTTACTTTAAAACATGGTAACGTAAATATGGGTAACTTAAATATCTTTCTGAGATTTATCGTAACTTTTAATGCCATTGTTCAATTATTCCACTGTTAATTAAAGGCATATTCTAGTGCTTGAGTATAAGGCAATTTGACCCATAGGGAACAGTGTAGTTCTCTTACTTAATTTGTGAATAAATACTAACACGTAAATATCGTTGAATTTTTTAACCATTGGACTTATAAGAAAAGGGGGGCTATTGTTCATAAATACAGACAAAGAGTGTCCTTTTTACCATTCCATGCAATAGAAGAGGTGTTCATGATGTTAAAAAGTTACAACTTAGTCCTATTGAGTCAGTTTATCAATCCTTCCAGTCTTTTTGAATTTCCAAATAGAAAAGTAATATTTCTGCGGTGACATCAAAATTTGATAAATATATTAAAACTTTTAAAAAATTGTGACACGCATATGTGTGAAGGGTGTGATATTCAGAAAATATAACTCAAATGTAGGACAATCTTACTAAGAAAAAGATACGTAAATGATTTAAAACTTCTTTTTGGTTTAAAATAAAAACTACACTATGATCGGCGACAGTAACGTAAATATCGATTTCTGCTATAAAATGTGATTTTCTCCTAAGACAGTCATTCAAACTACAACAAACAATTGTTGCATTTTAATGAACAACCAACAATGGTTCATATGAGTGGCAGAAAATAAAATTTATTTGAAATATTATATTACTTAAAACGCGGTACATTATTTAAAGCGAATTGAGACTATAAATTGAGAATGCGTGTGTAATGTAGGTACCAATGATTAGGTTTCGATTCATTCGTGTTACGAGTTGACTAGAAACCTCATCCTTCACTGCTTACCGGTGTGTTTGATTTCACGACAAATTTTCCCAAGAAATGTAGTAAACTTCAATATACATAAGACATTAGCAGGTGTTGCACATTTATAATTTATTTTTTTTCCCAAAATATTTGTATCTCCTGTTTTCAAAAATAGAAAAACGTTAGCACTGGTCTACAGAAATATCAGCTCGCCAACTGAACGCGCCATGATTGTTTACAAAATAAGCGTTCGCAACCCATCGGAATGTTTCGCCCACTTTAAGGAAAACATCGAGAGAACGCTAAATACACTGACCACTTGATGGTCAGGTTGACCGTTGACTAGACAAAACAGGTAAGTAATTTTCTAACGGTATATTTAAGCGCTTATAAATCAACTTTCAATTGCATTGTACATGTATTTATAGCAAATGGAAACAGAAATGAGCTTAGTTGCTATTCATTAACACCAGGAAGGATACAGCCCACCAGTATAAACAAACGGCAATTTCGCAACCGATATTAATTTGAGGAAATACAAGAAGTGCTCTAGCCTTTTAATCAGGGACCTATATACTAAGTTAGTATAAAGGTCCCTGCAATGTCTGTAAATCAAGCTGTCAAGTTCTCTAATGAAAAAATCGAGTACGTCTTCCCGAGTCCCGACGGTCCCGGATTTTCATCAATATTTTTTATTATTGCTGGTATAAATTCCAAAATGCATAAAAGTTTCATTAATTATATATAGACTTGAGTCACTTCAGTCGTAATCATTATGGTTTAATTATTAATACTCCTAAACTGAGTTTATATAACAGACGTAAACTATACCTAATGATCCATGTGCGGATCTAGAAGGGGGTGGGGTGGGGAGGGTGTTATTAACTGTATATACATTCGTACTAAACCAAGTAAAATTGACATTGGATCCCCCCTTAGAAAACCCCAACCCCTCCTCGAAAACGCGGATCTATGCGAAATTGAATCCGCATCTGTGATCGCAGGGTTTTGAGCGATAAATTCGTCAATCATAATAAAACTTTAATTCATACTCTTAAACTATATAGTTAATTAACTTAATATTCATATTTACAATTAACTCACACTCTTTAACTATAATAGTTAGCTAGTATACATATTTACAAGTTTACGCCGTCTCTCGCGATGTGAGTGTTTTAGATTAGGTCATGGGCCGGTCAATTATGATAATCATGCGTGGTTATACACTAAAAATTCCTAATAATAGCTGCCTCTCACGACTGTCAGCGACAAATTTAACGCATATTTATTACCAACATTATATATAAATATATATAAGTGTTTCTCCCAAGAGAAAATTTCTGAAACAAAACATTTGTACTATAAGAATTGCAGCGCCCTGCTTTCGGTGTCTTAATCGTTAAGATGCAATTATTTATGGCATGCATATTTTAACAGTATTGCCTGTCTGTGTGTAAGTCCTGTCCATCATACAAGAAAGTGGCAAATTTTTGAAAAAATAAAAGTTTCTGTCTATATTAAAGTTTATTTAAGAGTGTTTCAACTGCAAGATAAAGCTTTAAACGTAATGGCCCAGATTAATTTTTTTTTGAAGGCCAGACTTCAAGGTCAAGAAGTAAGTAAAAATTGTTGATTAATTTTTTTTGTGCCCCCCCCCCCCCCCCCCCGTAATCGAAGAATCGGGTATATAGTTTTTGCTCTGTCCATCTGTCTGCTTACCCGTCTGTTTTTCTGTCTGTTAATCTGTTTGTCCGCAAAAACTTGAACCATTCCCATTTTTAGGCTATGGCTTTCATATTTCACATGTGTATTCCTTGTAAAAGTGGGTCAAATTCCAAAGTTAAGGTCATACGCAATGTAGTTTGAACTTTATTGGATTCTTCCCTGGAGTTGAAGAGTTCCACTACATGAAGGACCCGTGTGCAATACTTTTAATGTCTATATATGGATTTGTACACCTAGCTCTTCTAAAACAATTTTTTATGAAAAAAATCTGGAATTTATGTTTTGTAATTTTTGTACATTTTTCTTTGAACAATGCATTAATTTTCACAATTGTCACAAGGAATACACATGTGAAATAAGAAAGCTATAGCCCCAGGCAAAAGTTATAGGCAAGGTTAAAGGTTTTTGCGGACAAACAGCTAAACAGACTTATGGACGGATAGGGACGGACAGGAGGGCAAAAACTATATACCTCCGAATCTTCGAATACCGGGGCATAAAAAAACTACTTGAATTTCACAGCTGTAGGTTGAACTTTAAAGTCAAGGTGGATGGGTCAAAAACTACAGTATATTTTGGAAGATCTTATCACAGGGAATGTACAGGGCATATATGAACACACTTTCGCCCCACATTCAAAAGTTGTCATAATGTTAAATTTTTGTAAAAGTGGATCAAATCTCAAAAATGTTGTTACATTTGGAAAGTCTTATCACGGATAATATACTTGTGAAATATGAAAGCCCTATATTTTTCTCATTCAAACGTTATGACCAAGGTTAAGATTTCTGTGACAGACGGATAGACAGACAGACGAAGGGGATTTGATGTCCTCTCATTGTATTTTTGCGAATGCGAGTACAAAAATATGTTGCTAACTAATAAAAGTACAAAACATCACTCAATTAACTTGATTAATATTAAAGTAATCAACCTTTTCAGAGGACGACATGCCTTCGGAGTCATTTACAGATGTTCTTCCGGGATTCACAGGGGAGTGTAATCCAGATATTTTCAACCTGAAAGCGAAGCCGAATGTTACAGACAAGAAACCTGGCCAACTTCCGGACCATATGATAAAACAATACTTTGAAGATGTACGTTTTATTTATACTATAGTAGAATGGGTCATCACAGCTTAGAGATAAGCACACTAGATGTCTATGCAGTATGCACCCGTTAGTCTTAAGTGACCTTCAATGTCATTGATAAATATTAAATCGTTGTTTAAACAGTTCATAGGAGGTGGTAGTTTCAACAGTTATCTGGGGGAAGACTTCTTATTTCGTCCCATTTTTTTTATGATAAAGATAAAGAAACCAAGGACATTTGTTGTCAAATTATTGTTAAAAAGTAAAAGACGATATCGAATAGCTTTTGAAAATGGCGTCTGAACACTGGCGGGATTTTGGAAATGTTCAAAATGTTGTTAACGTGTTACCTGGATATACAGGAGAATGCCATCCGGAAATATTCAATTTGTATGCAAAACCGAGTGTTCAAGAAAAGAAATTAGGACAGCTTCCGGACGAAATGATCCGAAAATTCTTTGAAGATGTATTTGCTTTTCTTCTTATGCGGATTAGTATGGGTAGTGTGTGAACTACCACCTTGACGTTATGTATTTGCACCTTGAATAAAAATCATAATTAATTTCTGAATAGATGCAGATGGTCATAAGATTTTCAACTTAAGATATGGTTTATCTTTTCTCTTTTGAATAAAGGGTTATGTGATCGTGAAAGACTTCTTTACTAAGGAAGAATTGGAACCATGCAGAAAGGCTATCGAAAGATTTGTTGATCAGCTGGCTCAAAAATTATATGAATCTGGGCGAATAAAATGTAAGGAACTTGTACATACAAGTATCTAAAGTCTCTCACTCTCTTTGTCTCGATCTTTCTCAGAAAATGGGATTGCTGTCACCATGATTTATTTTTAAGTATTTTGTTTTAGCGCTCTACAGTGAGTACGGATTTTTTGAACGCTTGTCGAAGATTGAAAAAGACTTTCCTGGAGCTAACATAGTTCTACACAAATACGGAGTTTTGCCACAGGTATATACAACCTGTTTACAGGGTACTTTAAACTAATGTGTGATATCACAGTCAAGAATATCGAGTATATGGCCACTAGACTGTAAAAAAAAAGAGTTGGGAGAGACGAACAGAAAACTACAGTTGAATTTTTTTTTAAAAGTATACATGTATTTATTGTGCACAAAAAATCTTCACACGGTTGGAAAATTAATTTGCTCAAGGTAATTCTAAACTGCCTAAATCGTAGTGAACATAGTATTTAAACTATTTCAAAAGTTTTTAAAAAATATTTTTATTTTTTTTTATATTAATATTAGTCATATCATCCTTTGATTTTTTTTGGGGGGGGGGGGTGGTTGCGGCTTCCACGTTTATCTTTCCGCAAAAATGCGTTATCATTCCGTAATTTTATTTTACAATTCTGAAAACAAACAAACAAAAATATAAATTTCTGTGTATCAAATATATTTTAGGCCTTTAAAGATCTTTGGACCAATGAGCGTTTGCTGAACGTTGTGGAGCAGCTGATTGGTCCAGACATTGCTGGGCATCCAGTTTGGAATCTGCGCACTAAAACACCCCAGAACGAGGCTACAACAGTTCCTTGGCATCAGGGTAATGATGAATATTGGCACAGTCCAGACGACGAACTAATATTTACGCCAATTTTCCTGATAAAAAAATATTTGACCGTCTGCACGAATCGTGGAATATGCACAACTCATCCAAAATAAATTTATTTAAATAATAAAATTATTCATTATTTTGTCGTAGACTCTGCCTATTTGGATCGAGAATCGTACAAAGTCCTCCAGCCTACAGCATGGATTCCTCTTCTAGACGCCAATGCTGACAATGGATGCATGCAGGTCATTTATATAGAAATTCTTTGACAAGCAAAAAAAAAAAAAAAAAAAAAAAAAAAAACTTAAAAGATAGTGCAACTTTCCTTCACAGTTACTTTCAATTCGTCATTTATATGCATTGCATGTAACCAACTACTAGTATAATAAAGCATTTGCTTTCTACTAATTAAGGTTGCACACAGAGGTCACAAGACCGGTAAAGTTGCTCACCATCAGTGTTGCTACGGAAAGACGTGGTATGTTATGTTGGAGGAAGAGGAAATGGCCAAAACATTAGGTAAAGTCTTATAAGTTACTAGTACCCCTCAGACAAGATCAATTTAAATAAATGGATAAAATAATATTTGTAAAATATGTGTTCTGTTTCAACAGAAGTAGATTTGGACAAAGACATCATTACCTGCCCAGTTCCCTATGGTGGAATGTTACTGCTAAACAATATGATACCTCACAGAAGGTAAATCGTTTCGATTACATAGAATTGAATTTGTCGGGTTTTTTTTACATACTGATTGTTTCTCTTTTCTTATTGCAAATAATTGCTATTTTACATTGCTTTTAAAGTCTGTAGAGTATAGTAATAGACAAACAGGCCAAATTTACAATATTTATCATTTGTTGAATATTCAGCTTGCCGAATATGTCAGACAAGATCCGTTGGAGCCTTGATCTCCGTTGGCAAAAACCGGATTATCCCTGCGGATTTTATGGAATGAAGAACCACCTTCTTTTCAGGACGTCCAAGGATCCAGACCATAAGATCGACTGGACAGGATTTGATGGAGATGACCGCTGGTCTAAACAGAAGGAATCAGTCAAAGACCTCCAAGACGTACTTCCGGTAAAATCAATAAAATCTCAGTTCCTAGACAAGTAAATAATGACTATCTGTAATATATCTAAGAGGAGTTAGGTTTATAGACCAGAGCTTGTCGTTTTGAAAAAAAAACACTTAACAAATTGTAAACTTTCTATTATGTTCAAAATTCTTACCTTTTGCCATTACCCTAATAAATTTGTACGTTTTTCAATTACATGAACTTTATATTAATATTGAAAAACGTGAATAATGGAACTTTGCATGGTTAAAAATTATCTATTATACGTTTACATGTATATGTATAAATATGGATTTAGTTTTTGTTATCATTATTTGGGGGGGGGGGTGGGGGTGGGGGGTAGGGGTGGTGGGGGTGTTGTACCAAATTTTCAATATTTACATGTACCTGTAAGCTTGGAAATGAAACCTTAAAGAGAAATGTACATTCAATTGTACTACATGTACCGGTATATTTCAGGTTCAACAAAAATATTTACGTCTTGCACTGGTAAATATAAATCAAAGTTAAAATATATCTATACTGTATTCTTTTGGTTATTTTCCCGCCAACAGAATGTAGAAGACGCAGATTTTGACACCACTATCCAGGGTCCATGGATGAAGAAATGGGACCTCGTCCATCATAACCAACACACGGCCAAACTGGACGAAAGCAAACAGCTCTCCTGGCACGCCCCCACCAAAGCGTAACTTGGCCTACTTATAATATGCTTCACATATTTCATATTTGACTATATCATTTACAATACGGACATTATAAACATAGACTTAAATTTTTAGGTCTCTATTATAAACAATGAATGATTTTCAGAGAGATATATACGCATTTTATACTGGTTTTAAAAAAATTACATGTCAAATTTGTATTTACATGTGGGTATCTTTCTACAGGCATATATATTTAAAATATATTTCTAATTCTGAATAAATTTATAAGTCACAAATAGAAATACTTTTTTTTAAGGAATAAAACTGTTTGAAAATTGTAAAAATGGATGTTTGTTGAATGACTTGACTATGATTTCACTTATGGAAAAACATCTGATGTAATTCAGAACAAGACTTCCTGACATGTTTATACTGAAGGTCCGTAGGTAGCCATAAGCTCATCAAGCGTAACTAAAGGTGGATGGGGGGCACGACTATAGAGGACTTCATGTTTTTTATAACAAACTCCAACTCCTTCCTTTGAATTAATTGATTTGACACAGCTTTCGATCCCATGATAATCAAGTGAAGTCCTAGTTCTCAGTTTCACGTCAGTCTGTGAGGAAATCCGAAAAATCTGCCTTAGATGTAGAATGTTATAAACTGAAATTAGATCGTTATATTGTTTTCATTTAAATAATAAAATGCTTTCTTTGGTTGTTGGTATGGAAATTAATGTCGCAGCTGTTGCAATTTTTTTCTGCAATTGCTGCGACGTTAATTCCTGTATTAACAAACAAAGAAAGCATTTTATTGTTTATATTTACATCTGTATCAAAAATCATTCAGAGTACAATAAAATTTGTTAACTAATGTTTTTGGGATGAATATGTCATTGTATGTAAAACTATGATTAACAACTCTTAACTATAGTTCACGATTGTATAATTATAGTTTACAGACGTGAATCTATGCTTATCAACAAAATCTAATGTTAACGTTTTATTATAGACAGGTAAACTTAGATTAGCATTCGTAAACTAAAGTTAACAACCGTTAAATATAGTTTTACAGGTGAAAACTATTGTTAACAAATTGTTAACTACAGTTCACGGTTTTTAAACTATAGTTTACAATCGATAAACCTAGTTTTTCAACTGTGAAACTATGTTTAGCTCATTTTTGTGAATTTGGCATGTCATTAACCTGTAAGTCACAATTAGGCGCAAAAAGCACAGGCAATTGTTTCGGAAATAAATTTTTAACCTATAGTGTAATTATTATTATAATATAGTTTAAAAATTTATTTCCGAAACAAGTCTCTGTGGTAAAAAGTAGACGATGAATGGTCCTGTAGACCAACAATCTTGTAGCTAATCTGGGTCGTTGTGTTTTGAAAAATAAAACTTTTCATGCATTAAGGATTATAATCAGGCAAATTAAAATAACATGAAAAAATATATGCTGTGAAGTTAAGATATTGATGTTATAACTTACAAGTAAGGTTGTAGTGGACAACCTTCGACTCGAACATGAAAATAGGTACATTAATGGACTGATAAGCAACCACTGGCGGATTTAAGTGAGGCGTAGGGGCGCATGCTTTCAGTCTGAAACCTTGCATTCCCAAGGCTATGAATTATCGGGGGTTATTTGGGTGGGTATGGGTACTGAGACATTACTTTTTGAACAACCCTCGTACTATAGTAGTATATAGATAATCACAACTTAGAGATTATCTTGTAGATGTCTATGCACTCGTTACATGAGTTTTTTTTTCACTCACAATTTGCTAAATCATTGTATAAGTTGTTTCTTATTTTACCAGTCTTTTTCACAATAGAATTTTGTAAAACGTTTACCAAGTGATCTTAAATGTTATTGATAAACAATCATCGTTGTTCAAACAGTCCATAGGAGGATCAACAGTTATCTGGGGGTCACTTCTTATTTTGACCCAATTTTTGTTGATAACGATAAAGAAACCAAGGACAATTGTTGTCAAATTATTGTTAAATATCAAAAGAAAACTTGATAAAGAGCATTTGAAAATGGCGTCTGAACAGTGGCGGGATTTTGGAGTGTTACCTGGATATACAGGAGAATGCCATCCGAAAATATTCAATTTGTGCGCAAAACCGAGTGTTCAAGAAAGGAAAGTAGGACAACTTCCGGACGAATTGATTCGGAAATTCTTTGAAGATGTAATTGCTTTTCATCTTATTCGGATTAGTTTGGGTAGTGTGTGAAATACCAGGTTGATCTTAAATATTTGCACATTGAATAAAAATCATAACTGATTTCTGAATAGATGCAAAAGCTCATTAAGATATTCAACTTTAGATATGGTTAACCTTTTCTCTTTTGAATAAAGGGTTATGTGATCGTGAAAGACTTCTTTACTAAGGAAGAATTGGAACCATGCAGAAAGGCTATTGAAAGATTTGTTGATCAGCTGGCCCAAAAATTATACGAATCTGGACGAATCAAATGTAAGCAACTTGTACATACATGTATTAAAAGTTTCTCTCTCACTCTGTCTCTTTCTCAGAAAATGGGATCACTCATTCACTGTCACCATGATTAATTTTTAAACATTTTGTTTTAGCGCTCTACAGTGAGTACGGGTTTTTTGAACGCTTGTCGAGGATTGAAAAAGACTTTCCTGGAGCTAACATAGTTCTACACAAATACGGAGTTTTACCACAGGTATACAAACTACTAGTATTCTAGTTTACTGATATGTGATATCACAGTCAAGAATATAGATAGGGTAGATGGTCACTAGAATGTAAAAAAAGGTTGGGAGAGACGAACAGAAAATTACAAATAGCTGAAATCGTACTGAACATGGGAGCTGGCTAAAAAGTATTTTTCCGGACGAAATTTGTTCAAGCAAACAAGCAATTTGTTCAAGCAAACATGCAAAAATTCAATTGAAGCTTCTTATGACCAGCAAATACATTCGACTCTTCTCAGGTATTTATCAATTTTTTCATGACCACCACACGGAGTAAACCCAGGAATATATATTGTGTGGATATATATAAATCTTAATTCTTAGCTTTAGACCTTCTTTGCATTGTTCCCAGTACCATTTTTCCGTCTTAAATTTAAAGCAACATGGAGTTGATGTGAAACGGTCCTGTCTCTCTATATTGCAAAATGCTAAATGCAAAGTGTATTGGAAGGACAGAAGGATGGAAGAAGGACATGACAAACACTATATGCCCCGGTCATATTCATGACGGGGCATAAAAGTTAACTTAAATCTTTGTTTTAATTGAACTCATGGATGATGTACGAGTTTTTCTTTCAGACTAGAGATGAATTGATTGCTTAAATAACTAAATACAGAAAGTAAAAAATAATAATATCTGCATATGTTTTAGGACCTACCTTAATGTATATCCTGTGATAAGGTTCAGGGCACAATTAGTTTTACCTTTCCGCCAAAAAGATTATCGTTCCTTGTATCAATTTTTTTAGGCCTTTAAAGATCTTTGGACCAATGAGCGTTTGTTGAACGTTGTGGAGCAGCTGATTGGTCCAGACATTGCCGGGCATCCAGTTTGGAATCTGCGCACTAAAACACCCCAGAACGAGGCTACAACAGTTCCTTGGCATCAGGGTAAAGATGGATATACGCACAGTAGAGACCAACAACTAATATTTCCGCCAATGCATTTTCCTGATAGATGAATATCTGACTGTCTGCACGAATCGTGGAATATGCACAACTCATCCAAAATGAAATAAAATTACATGTATTTAGTTATTAAAATGATTCATTATTTTGTCGTAGACTCTGCCTATTTGGATCTAGAATCGTACAAAGTCCTCCAGCCTACGGCATGGATTCCTCTTCTAGACACCAATGCTGACAATGGATGCATGCAGGTAGAGATAATGCAACTTTAATTCATAGAGCGTCATTTATAAGTATTTTATGTAGCCAACTACTAGTATATTAAGGCATTTTACCAATTAAGGTTGCACACAGAGGTCACAAGACCGGTAAAGTTGCTCACCATCAGTGTTGTTACGGAAAGACCTGGTATGTCATGTTGGAGGAAGAGGAAATGGCCAAATCATTAGGTAACATCTGATCCCATCAGGCAATATTGCTTTTAATAAATGGCCAATGTATGATTAGTAAACTATGTATTAAATCTGTTAAAATATTGGGATTGTTGTTTCAACAGAAGTAGATTTGGACAAAGACATCATTACATGTCCAGTTCCCTATGGTGGAATGCTACTGCTAAACAATATGATACCTCACAGAAGGTAAATGACTTCTTTTCCATATTGGTCAGTTCGTTTCTTTTTTACTTAAAGTGAGTAATTGCTATTTGACATAGAGGTTAAAGTTTATCAAGTATATGTTAATAGACAAACAGGCCAAATATACATAATTTATTATTGGTTGAATATTCAGCTTGCCGAACATGTCCGACAAGATCCGCTGGAGCCTTGATCTCCGTTGGCAAAAACCGGATCATCCCTGCGGATTTTATGGTATAAAGAACCACCTACTTTTCCGGACGTCCAAGGATCCGGACCATAAGATCGACTGGACAGGTTTTGACGCAGATGACCGCTGGTCTAAACAGAAGGAATCAGTCAAAGCCCTCCAAGACTTACTTCCGGTAAAATCAATATGCTAAGTTACTAGACCTGTGAGCTTGAAAAAAAATGAAATCTGAAAGAGAAATCATGCTTATACATTCAGTTATAACTGCATGTACCAATAGCAAGCCATTTTGTTATTTAATCGGAAAATAAAAATTATTATAAAATTCCAGAGATATCTCTCATTTTACAGAGATATCTCTTATAAAAAAGATATCTCCGGACTTTTAGAGATATATCTCAACTTAAAGAGATATCTCTTTCACTCAGTGTAATATCTCTTTTTCTAAAAGATATATCTCTTCTACTTAAAGAGATATCTCTTTCTCATTGAGAGTTATCTCTTTGGTAAAAAGAGATATCTTTTAACAATAAAGAGATATCTCTTTCACCTAGAGAGATATCTTTCCAATTTAAAAGGATATCTCTCAAAGTAAAAGATATTTTTTCTTAGTTTTTCTTAAGAGATATCTCTAAAAGTGAAAGAGATATCTTTCATAAGTGTCCAAAAAAGATATCTCTCAAGCAAAAAGAGATATCTCTTTATTGTAAAGAGACATCTCTCCCCTTATTTTTATTCAAATTGCGTTGGTGATGACTTCTCCCTTAACCGGAAGTACGTTAAAATATTCTGAAAATTTGACATATTCTACATGATAGCTTTGATAAACATGACAAGTAATTCAGTGTTGTTTAGATTTCAAATTAGTAATAGTTGATTTTTTTTATAAGCTGAGAAAATTCGATTCATTGCATTTCCTTTCGTTTTCCCGAATATTTGCCATTATATTTTTGTTGTTTCAAACAAGGGATTAATAGCATTTTGTCTCTATAGTAAACATATTATTCTGGGTATGACATGCTCAGTCTTTTTCTCATTACACCGTCATTATTCCAGAGACTTTACTTCCTGTCTCGCTTTAGTATAAAAGGGGATAATTGATTATTTTATTTTAAGGATCACTGGAAAAGAGATATCTCTTTAGCCTAGAAAGATATTTCTTTTTGAAAACCAAGAGATTTCTCTCTGGCTAAGAAAGATATCTCTTTTAACCTTGTTGAAGAGATATCTCTCTAACTTTAAGATGTATCTCTCTTGCTTAAAAAAGATATCTCTCTAGCTTATAAAGATATCTCTCTAAGTAAAAGATATATCTCTCATACAAAAAGATATTACTACCGTGTTTAAAGAGATATCTCTCTAGTTTATAAAGATATCTCTATTATCAAAGAGTGAGTTGATGGAACAAGAATATCAACAGTCTCATTTAGTCATAATTTCGTAAGTTCTATGGTCGATACAGTTACCTTGTCAGCAAATACAATTTTTCATTGAGTCAAATGCTGACTGACGTTTTTCCCCCGTTTTCACTGAAAGTGGGGGATATTAATTAATTGGGTCTATCTGTCCGTCCCTCTTTCTGCCTGTCTGTAACGCTTTCGTTTCCAAGCGATATCGCGAGAACCCTTTTAGCTTTCGCAATGAAATTTTACATAACTCCCTGTGGCCTAAGGAAAACCCTATTAATTTTGAGGTCAAAAGGTCAAAGTTCAAGGTCGTAAATGTATACATTCTGTCTGTGTGTAACACTGTCGTTTCCGGGCGATGTTTCAAGAAGATTTTGAGCTTTTGCAATGAACTTTTATACCAAAAGTCCCTATGGCCTCTCTCACCCCTCTCAAAGTGTCCCACCCCGTTTGTTTTATTAGTGTTAAATGTCACTTGGCATTATTTTTAGCGTGCAGGGGAATGTGGAGCGTTATTTCGTATAAAACAGGTTGTCAGCAGACTTTTCATTCTTATTACATCTATTAGAACTGTTTAATAAAGACTAGATTAGACACCATGCATTGTGTAAATTTTTTACAATATCGAACGTGAATATATACATGTATGTGACATGCAAGCGTTCATGGTTTCGAATCGCGAACGATCTATTTCCTTTTTTTAAAACATTTTTTTTTACTAAATGATAATATTCAGCATCATGCCATGTGAAATGAAAAAGATATGACGTCTAGCTTGTACAAACCCATAAAATCATCATTACAGTATGATAAATATTCTATATAAAAAGAATTTCTATACACATAATAAAGAATAAGCAATCAAATCTTTATATCCATATTGGCATTTTTTATTTGCTTCAATATACATGTATACATTTAATAACTCTGCAAATTCAGTCAGGAGGTATCCGACCCCCCCCCCCCCCAAACTGCGGTGGTCTTCTTTTTCCCTAAGCAGGGGACATGAATTCTCTGAATTAGCTTGTTCTTACTAATTGTTAGTCCATTATTTATACACTGAATTGCCGACTGATTTTTCCGTTGTTTCTCGATTATGTAAAAGAGCATACGACGGGTGTGACTGGTCGGCAGGGGATGCTCACTCCTCCTTGGCACCTGATCCAACCTCTGGTTTTGGAGGTCTGTGTTTGCTCTGTCCCTATTTTGTATTGTTTCATGGACGTTTCATCTTGAATATTGTTCGTTATCTCCATACGTTTCAACAATATAAGCTGAAGAGATATCTCTCTATAATAAAGAGATATCTCTTTTCTTGAAAGATTTTCTTAAATTCAAGAATAAATAGTAGAAGGGCTTGCCATATGTACCGGTATGGTGTTTACTTTCATGCAGGTCATATTATTTAAAGAATGATATTTACATCTGTTACCAGTAAATAACCATAGTTAAAATATATCCTTGCTCTATTCTTTCTGTAATTTTCCACAGAATGTAGAAGACGCTTATTTTGACACCACTATCCAGGGTCCGTGGATGAAGAAATGGGACCTCGTCCACCATAACCAACACACGGCTAAAATGGACGACAGCAAGCAGCTCTCCTGGCACGCCCCTACCAAAGCTTAACTTGGCCTACAATTACTTATAACATGCTTCACATAATTCATATTTGACTATATATCATTTACAATACGGACTTAAAGTAGCTATTCCACCTAAAAATTAAAAAAGAGTTTTTTAATTCTAAAGCACAATAATATTATTTGTATGTGTGTAACTTAGTTATAAATAAAGAGATTTTCATTGGTTGCTTGCTATTTAATATGTAAATTAGATCCATATATAGATAAAATTACACCACTAATGTTACCAAAGAGGAATAACTCCAATAAAATTTAATAACATTTTGAAGGGAACTCTGTAAGGCATACCTTATAGTCTGCTTCAAAATGTGCTATAACTATGATCCAATTTTGCTCCTGTGTCTAAAATAGGAATTTTCATATTTCAGCAGAAATTAATATTTTTTTTCTAAACCAGCTCAATGTTTATTTCAAATGATATTAGAATTTTTTTTTTAAACATACCTTTGAAAAATAAATTCCTTTCTTTGATGTCTGTATTGATTTCTCTTTCCCTTAACTCAAATATGCTGCTGTCCGTCTTCTCGGTATCATTCCAGTACAGAACCTGAAATAAATATATATATAGATATAAGTATCCAAAGTCTCTTTTTGTCAATACAATAAAAAACTTTAAAACACTTTTCGAAATATTTCAGCCGTGTCACCGGCCTTCATCAGTCGTGTTTATTTAAATGCATAGCAACTCAACAGTATTATGACGTCACAATGAACATAGAAATTGAAAGGCAACGTCATGCACTAAAATTGCGCCAAAAACATCTGAATATATTGTGAGAGCAAAAATTGTACTTGTGTATCAAAATTTTTATCATACAGAATAAAATACTAGAATACGGGGTATATTAAAAAGATGATTTTAAAGTATATATAAAAGTATATCTGTAAAAATAAGTATACAATGTCACACAAATGTTCATAAATCCAATTCAAAGACAGAAGTGTTCCCTTTTGTTAATACCAAATGGTATATAAGTGTTCAACTTTTTCTTCCAAAGATTTTCTCTATATTTGCGGTAAATGTCATTCTTATACAGTTTTTCAATGCCTATTATATTATAATCTTCTACTGTATGTACATCTGAATTAAAATGAGTAGCCACAGGATCATTTGTTTCTCTTCTAATTAAAGACAAATTCAACACATGTCTTTGATATAAACTATCACCAGTTTCTCCCACATACACTATTTTGTCACACTTTTTACAAAAAATTCCATAAACAACATTCCTTGATTTACAATTAATATAATTTTTGACTTGAAAAGTGCATCCGTTATTATCTTCAAACTGGCTGGTTTTCACAACAAATTTACACAAAATACATTTTTTAGCATCACATGGCTCACATAAATTTCCTTTTTTAAAAAATAAATTGTTGTGTTTTTTATACACTAAAATGTCTTTCAAATTTTTGTCTCTTTTATAGGCAACGATTGGGGTCTTTTTGAACGCGAGTTTCAGGCGATCGGAATTTTCAAGAATTTTTTGTCTTTTCTTCAAAATGTTATGAATATTCGGTAATCCTTTTGAATAGGTCAACACAAGGGGAACACGGTCACATCGCGTTTTATTTTTTCTGTAATTTAGTAGATCCGAGCGATTGAGTTTGTCAACTTTCGTAAGTTGTTTTTCTACTTCATTGCTAGAATATCCTCGTTTTCGCAAGTTCTTTTTCACTTTATCACGTTGGCTTTGATAGTTTTCCTCTGTGGAGCAAATACGACGTGCTCTAAGACCAAGGCCGTACGGAATTGAACTTTTTGTAGATTCGGGATGGCTGGAGGTTTTGTTAAGGTACATATGTTTGTCAGTTGGTTTGCTGTAAAGATCTGTTGTGAGAAATCCGTTATCCAGAGAAATAGAAACATCAAGGAAGTCTATTTTTGTTTTTGAAAAACGCAGGTCAAGCTGAATGTTGGGGTGAATATTATTTGCAGTCATATGGAAATCATGTAGTTCTTCTTCTGTCCCCGTCCAGATCCCAAAAATATCGTCAATGTATCTTAGATAAAAAAGAGGTTGTTGTTTACAAATCGCCAAAAGAATATTTTCCCATTCCCCCATGTATACACATGCATAGTTTCGTCCCAGTTTAGATCCTATAGCAGTACCTTCGGTTTGGATATAATGTTTATTGTTGAAACTAAAATTATTGTTATCCAGGACAGCATCCATCATTTCTAGAATACTGTCAGTATCTACTTCTTTTTTCTGTCGTTCTTCTAGAATCCTTTTAATTACTTCCCTTGCTTCCTTCCTTGGTATACTAGGATACAGTGATTTAACATCCATGCAAAATAATAAAGAAGAATTCGGCAACGGTTGATTCAATGTTGAGAGTTTCCTCAAGAAATCCGTGGTGTCCTGTATGTAACTTTTAAGTGATTTGTTTGCATCCTCGAGCTGTAATTCAACATACTCTGCTAGTTTTTCTGTGGGATGTTGACGGCCATTTACTATAGTTCTCAGCGGGTGATTTTTCTTGTGTACTTTTGGATTGGCCTGTAGTTTACCGGAAGAAATTTCTGTCGGTAAAAGGTAGTGTCGTAGCTCTGTCGAGATAGATCCTCTTTTATGCATGTTATTCACTAACTTTTTTATTTTGTTAGTTATTTGTTGAGATCTGTCTTCTTTTACTTCACTGTAGGATGAGCTATTCAGCATTTCGTTTTCCACTTGATCAACGTATTTATCTGTATCCATAACAACGACTCCTGATCCTTTGTCTGCTGGTCTAATGATAATATTTGGATCCTCTAGAAGCTCTCTCATAGCACTTTCCTCTGAGTTTGTAATATTGCTCGAAAAATTTCTACTTAATCCCCTGATTACATCTTCCTTAACTTGTCTAATGTATTCATCAAGCCATTTGTCCCTCCCCTCTTCTGGTGTCCACTTTGAATTTGATTTCTTTTTCTCATACTGTTCATCTGTGTCTGAAGATTCATCATCTTCCTCATTAAAAAAGAATTCCCGCAGTCGCATTCTACGTTCCCATGTTTGCAGGTCTGTTAATAACTGTGTGAAATCAATATTCTTTTTAGTAGGTACAAATTTTAGTCCTTTTTTAAGTAAGCTTAACTGCGCGTTTGTTAGTTTTTTTGAAGACATATTGATCACATCCTTATCTGAACATGTACTATTATCAGGCATTACCATAGTTTCATTGTTCTCATCCTTTTCCTCCGAATCCACGTTGTGCATTTTAGAATCTTCCGATAATAGATCATCTGTTGCTTCAGAATTGGATGCAAAGCAATTGCACGGGCGATGTGAGGTTTTGATGAAATTAAAATGATTTGAGAAGTAATTTAAACAAATGAAATCTTTTTTATGATCGCATTCCTCCGCATTCGGGTACTTTTGCCATTGGGATCGGTTATTTGAATTTGATTTTACAAAAATATCAACATCAAATCGGTATGCTGCTGCAAACACTTCTGCTTCTGTTGCCCATGAAGCCACACTTCCGTCCAATAGTTTGACATTGTTCAAATGATCTTGAAAATCTCCGTCTACGTACTCACTATAAAATTGTTTATTTGCATTCAGTTCTTCTACAACCATTCTTCTTATTTCAGTATGAAATTTCTGATCATCAAAAAAATAATATGAGACGCATCTATAGAAACAGTTCCCATCCCCCTCTATTCGAATTTCTACATCTTCATCAACTATGATTGCATTGTCAACTGTGGGGTTTACGGTCAAAGTAGATACAACATTATCTTTTTTATTCCTGTTTTCATTTAATGCACCTAGTTTCCTACTCTTTGTTCTGAAAAGTTTCTCTGCGTTTTTTTCTACATTGGCATTGATAGATGAAAAAGCCTCTATATACTCCTCCCTTCGCCAAGTTTCGTCCTTAGACTTTCACTCTGCTTTTCTATAGATTCTTTAAGTTTTGAAACAGTTTTAACACAAACCTTTACGGATTCCTGCATTAATTTTCGGGAAGTTGAGTCCAGGATTCCATGAATATTTTCTTTGTTGTCAATTGTTGCATCCAAACCTAAAGTCCATTTAAGTTTAAATCCTTTTGGAATAATGTTACGTTCCAAGCAAGATTGTAAGAATAATTGGTGGCTCTCATATCTGGTTTTCTTCAAAAATGTTTTACGCAAAATTCTCAATTCGTTCTTTTGCACGCTGGTCATGTTGTTCTGCTACACTTTATACAAATCCAAAGTCTCTTTTTGTCAATACAATAAAAAACTTTAAAACACTTTTCGAAATATTTCAGCCGTGTCACCGGCCTTCATCAGTCGTGTTTATTTAAATGCATAGCAACTCAACAGTATTATGACGTCACAATGAACATAGAAATTGAAAGGCAACGTCATGCACTAAAATTGCGCCAAAAACATCTGAATATATTGTGAGAGCAAAAATTGTACTTGTGTATCAAAATTTTTATCATACAGAATAAAATACTAGAATACGGGGTATATTAAAAAGATGATTTTAAAGTATATATAAAAGTATATCTGTAAAAATAAGTATACAATGTCACACAAATGTTCATAAATCCAATTCAAAGACAGAAGTGTTCCCTTTTGTTAATACCAAATGGTATATAAGTGTTCAACTTTTTCTTCCAAAGATTTTCTCTATATTTGCGGTAAATGTCATTCTTATACAGTTTTTCAATGCCTATTATATTATAATCTTCTACTGTATGTACATCTGAATTAAAATGAGTAGCCACAGGATCATTTGTTTCTCTTCTAATTAAAGACAAATTCAACACATGTCTTTGATATAAACTATCAGATGTACATACAGTAGAAGATTATAATATAATAGGCATTGAAAAACTGTATAAGAATGACATTTACCGCAAATATAGAGAAAATCTTTGGAAGAAAAAGTTGAACACTTATATACCATTTGGTATTAACAAAAGGGAACACTTCTGTCTTTGAATTGGATTTATGAACATTTGTGTGACATTGTATACTTATTTTTACAGATATACTTTTATATATACTTTAAAATCATCTTTTTAATATACCCCGTATTCTAGTATTTTATTCTGTATGATAAAAATTTTGATACACAAGTACAATTTTTGCTCTCACAATATATTCAGATGTTTTTGGCGCAATTTTAGTGCATGACGTTGCCTTTCAATTTCTATGTTCATTGTGACGTCATAATACTGTTGAGTTGCTATGCATTTAAATAAACACGACTGATGAAGGCCGGTGACACGGCTGAAATATTTCGAAAAGTGTTTTAAAGTTTTTTATTGTATTGACAAAAAGAGACTTTGGATTTGTATAAAGTGTAGCAGAACAACATGACCAGCGTGCAAAAGAACGAATTGAGAATTTTGCGTAAAACATTTTTGAAGAAAACCAGATATGAGAGCCACCAATTATTCTTACAATCTTGCTTGGAACGTAACATTATTCCAAAAGGATTTAAACTTAAATGGACTTTAGGTTTGGATGCAACAATTGACAACAAAGAAAATATTCATGGAATCCTGGACTCAACTTCCCGAAAATTAATGCAGGAATCCGTAAAGGTTTGTGTTAAAACTGTTTCAAAACTTAAAGAATCTATAGAAAAGCAGAGTGAAAGTCTAAGGACGAAACTTGGCGAGGAGGAGTATATAGAGGCTTTTTCATCTATCAATGCCAATGTAGAAAAAAACGCAGAGAAACTTTTCAGAACAAAGAGTAGGAAACTAGGTGCATTAAATGAAAACAGGAATAAAAAAGATAATGTTGTATCTACTTTGACCGTAAACCCCACAGTTGACAATGCAATCATAGTTGATGAAGATGTAGAAATTCGAATAGAGGGGGATGGGAACTGTTTCTATAGATGCGTCTCATATTATTTTTTTGATGATCAGAAATTTCATACTGAAATAAGAAGAATGGTTGTAGAAGAACTGAATGCAAATAAACAATTTTATAGTGAGTACGTAGACGGAGATTTTCAAGATCATTTGAACAATGTCAAACTATTGGACGGAAGTGTGGCTTCATGGGCAACAGAAGCAGAAGTGTTTGCAGCAGCATACCGATTTGATGTTGATATTTTTGTAAAATCAAATTCAAATAACCGATCCCAATGGCAAAAGTACCCGAATGCGGAGGAATGCGATCATAAAAAAGATTTCATTTGTTTAAATTACTTCTCAAATCATTTTAATTTCATCAAAACCTCACATCGCCCGTGCAATTGCTTTGCATCCAATTCTGAAGCAACAGATGATCTATTATCGGAAGATTCTAAAATGCACAACGTGGATTCGGAGGAAAAGGATGAGAACAATGAAACTATGGTAATGCCTGATAATAGTACATGTTCAGATAAGGATGTGATCAATATGTCTTCAAAAAAACTAACAAACGCGCAGTTAAGCTTACTTAAAAAAGGACTAAAATTTGTACCTACTAAAAAGAATATTGATTTCACACAGTTATTAACAGACCTGCAAACATGGGAACGTAGAATGCGACTGCGGGAATTCTTTTTTAATGAGGAAGATGATGAATCTTCAGACACAGATGAACAGTATGAGAAAAAGAAATCAAATTCAAAGTGGACACCAGAAGAGGGGAGGGACAAATGGCTTGATGAATACATTAGACAAGTTAAGGAAGATGTAATCAGGGGATTAAGTAGAAATTTTTCGAGCAATATTACAAACTCAGAGGAAAGTGCTATGAGAGAGCTTCTAGAGGATCCAAATATTATCATTAGACCAGCAGACAAAGGATCAGGAGTCGTTGTTATGGATACAGATAAATACGTTGATCAAGTGGAAAACGAAATGCTGAATAGCTCATCCTACAGTGAAGTAAAAGAAGACAGATCTCAACAAATAACTAACAAAATAAAAAAGTTAGTGAATAACATGCATAAAAGAGGATCTATCTCGACAGAGCTACGACACTACCTTTTACCGACAGAAATTTCTTCCGGTAAACTACAGGCCAATCCAAAAGTACACAAGAAAAATCACCCGCTGAGAACTATAGTAAATGGCCGTCAACATCCCACAGAAAAACTAGCAGAGTATGTTGAATTACAGCTCGAGGATGCAAACAAATCACTTAAAAGTTACATACAGGACACCACGGATTTCTTGAGGAAACTCTCAACATTGAATCAACCGTTGCCGAATTCTTCTTTATTATTTTGCATGGATGTTAAATCACTGTATCCTAGTATACCAAGGAAGGAAGCAAGGGAAGTAATTAAAAGGATTCTAGAAGAACGACAGAAAAAAGAAGTAGATACTGACAGTATTCTAGAAATGATGGATGCTGTCCTGGATAACAATAATTTTAGTTTCAACAATAAACATTATATCCAAACCGAAGGTACTGCTATAGGATCTAAACTGGGACGAAACTATGCATGTGTATACATGGGGGAATGGGAAAATATTCTTTTGGCGATTTGTAAACAACAACCTCTTTTTTATCTAAGATACATTGACGATATTTTTGGGATCTGGACGGGGACAGAAGAAGAACTACATGATTTCCATATGACTGCAAATAATATTCACCCCAACATTCAGCTTGACCTGCGTTTTTCAAAAACAAAAATAGACTTCCTTGATGTTTCTATTTCTCTGGATAACGGATTTCTCACAACAGATCTTTACAGCAAACCAACTGACAAACATATGTACCTTAACAAAACCTCCAGCCATCCCGAATCTACAAAAAGTTCAATTCCGTACGGCCTTGGTCTTAGAGCACGTCGTATTTGCTCCACAGAGGAAAACTATCAAAGCCAACGTGATAAAGTGAAAAAGAACTTGCGAAAACGAGGATATTCTAGCAATGAAGTAGAAAAACAACTTACGAAAGTTGACAAACTCAATCGCTCGGATCTACTAAATTACAGAAAAAATAAAACGCGATGTGACCGTGTTCCCCTTGTGTTGACCTATTCAAAAGGATTACCGAATATTCATAACATTTTGAAGAAAAGACAAAAAATTCTTGAAAATTCCGATCGCCTGAAACTCGCGTTCAAAAAGACCCCAATCGTTGCCTATAAAAGAGACAAAAATTTGAAAGACATTTTAGTGTATAAAAAACACAACAATTTATTTTTTAAAAAAGGAAATTTATGTGAGCCATGTGATGCTAAAAAATGTATTTTGTGTAAATTTGTTGTGAAAACCAGCCAGTTTGAAGATAATAACGGATGCACTTTTCAAGTCA